TGGTGGGGAGGGCCCTGCAACAGTGATGGAGAATGGGGGGGCCGAATAAAGTCAGGGGCGGGGGGGAAAGCTCGACATGTGCTCTTTCGTGGTTTAATGTGTAGAGTAGGAGGCAGAAGTATGCAGCGCCGCGTACGTCATTACGCGCTGCAGAGTGGTTGTCTTGGTGTAGATGAATGAAGGTGTAGGCGCATGTGTGCGGGAGTGTGTGTGTGTGTGTGTGTGTGTGTGCGGGAGCGTGTGTGTGTGTGTGTGTATTGTTACATTGGAGTCCAGACTCGTGAAGAGTAGGGCCGTGCATGTGTGTAGAAGAGAGCCGGTCTGTCTGGGTCTATTTATTTGCCGAGCTGTGGGGCCCCTATAGTAGTGTAGGTAGTTTTAGTGGTTAAGTTCGTTGTGTGCGAGTTCCTGACAACTGACAACTGTTTCATCATCGGTCAGTTCTTGTTTGGCACCATGTTTGGCCCCGACCCCCCCGCAAGCTGCCTCGTACCTCCGAGATAAGTACGAACGTAGATAAGTAGAGATGCTCTCGTCACACCTTAGTTCGTTTGAAAAGTAATGAGGTTCGTTGAGGATGTGTAAAACGCATTTACACATACATACATGCATACAAACACATACACATGAGAGCATGTCTCAGTTCATAGTAAAACACACAGACATACGCACACACACGCACAACAGCAGAGAAACAGGTCATGTCGCCTCTGTATGTGTGCATGTGTGCTACCTGTGTACGGCACGTACAGCTTGACGGACTGACGTGTCCCTTACCCCCTTGATGGGTCTTCTTGACACATCATTCCAACATAAGGGAGATGATTCCACATACATACCAACAAACACATGCATACATACAAACAAACGAGCATGCAAACACATACATACAAACAGGATTAGGGTGCCCCTCTCGCAGGGGAGAGCACGGAACTGCCTCGGGAAAGGGGGCCGCTGGTGAAGCTATACCACCCTGTAACAACATACATACAAACAAACAAACAAGCATACAAACACCGCCTCCTTTCTTGGCGCATATTTCTGTCCCAGTCAGCATACCGGCTGCGTACCCAATGCACTTTCCCCCCAGCTGCTGCACCGACAACACACCCACCCTCGCAAAGCTCCTCCTACAGGGGCTCTGACCTGTCGCCCTCACCCCCCTGATATTTCCCCTCTCCCGCCCGTTCAGGCAGCTACCACCGCTACTCGCCGCCCGCTGCCGCCGCCGAGGGCGGGCCCACGTCGATAGATAGCTCAACCACGACAGATAGACAAAAAAACAAACAAAATATCAAACGGATAAACAGATCTCACATCATAGAGCAAGTCCGATGAAGTAAAACACGGCACAGGAAGTCGGAGGGACAACGCACAGGTGTGAAACAAGTTACATGGCCGGGACCGACCGGCGCCCAACCTTGTCATGGGAAGAAACCTGGCATCTGGCGTTTGCGTCCGCGCACCTTCCGTACACCCGTACGCCATCATAGAAGAAGATACCGTACATGGTACGGCGCTATCTAAAAGGGGCAAATCCCAACCATTAAATCCGTTATTTCCATCCCTCATGCGGCTACCGGCCTACCGACATCTCCCACATCCCCTACCCAACAGAGCTGCAAAAAAAAATCTATCGACCCCACGAGGCCGGATGCACCACCATGCCGATGGACGGTGAGGAGTCCTCCCGGGCCCTACGGGCGCCTGCGAGATCTGCGGCATGGTGGAAGAGGATGAGGGTGCACACACACGCGCTCAGACATACAAACGCACATACCCAGAGACACAGACACATGATAATAACGCATGCAGAGATGTGTTCAGGTGAAGCGATGATCCCTTTCACGTGGCTCGCTAAGTAAGGTAATCGTACACCCGTACACACGTGCGGTAGTGTTACTCGAGCGCGATGCAACCCTCCTGGGGCACCAGATCCAAGATAGTTAACACACACAGACATGCACAGACAGACAGGCAGACAGACAGACACACACACACAGGCACCCGTGTGCATGTATATAAAACTGCACAAGGTGTACCGGCCCCAAGTCCGCCACCCCACCCGGCCCAGGGGCAGGAGGGGAGGACTGAAAAACCCAAACGACTATCTCGCACATCGCCCACGCCGCCTTGTGAACTGAGAACTTTGCTTGAACCCTAGTTGTACGATGACCACTCAGAATACGTACGGTGCGTTCTTGTAATCGGTCAATATTCCTTTTAAAAGGAGCGAAAGAAATATATTATGTCGCTCAGGTCAGAGGCACGTTCAACCTGGACTGGCAAATCAATGAATAGACGGGATGCTGATGCAATGATGGAATGGCCCAAAGCAAAATAAACGACTTCCTAAACCTTTCTTTAAGATTATATAAGGGAGCCCTTTCCAAGCTAGCCCGAAGATGCTTCATCTACGCCCACCTACAGAAGCAGGCATACAGTCATAATGATCGCACAGGGGTGCATGAACGAAAACGAAAACCATCTTTATATGCGCGTAAGTGAATGCTTGTTGTGCAATAAGGGACAAACATAATGCAAAT